TTATTTGGCATAATTCACAAAATACGCGGTTTGCGCGATGTAGCATGCTCGTGTAGAATAGCGTTAGGGTTCTTGAAATTGCTCAAGATGTAATTGATGATGAATGAATCCACAGAAAACGTGCAATATGATTTTCGAGCTGAATGGCACGGCTGGATTCGAAGACTCCATGGTTTCAGTGTAGTGTGCTGTGGTGAAATACCACTTGCATTGTAAGTGGCATTCTAGTGCGCACACTGTTATCCCACGTCTGGGGCCAGTGTAGTGGTGGTTCGCGCGTGTATCTGCAAAATACATGAGAAAACTGCTTGACCTCTCAGCTATCCATCTAGGGTTTCCAGGACGAATGTGACTTTCAAATTACACTTTTGGCCCGTGTAACCCGCGCATGCCATTCATAGTTTTAGATCTGTTGACCTACACTGATATTTTTTGTGAGATCATGAATGCGGAAGAACGGCTATCGTTCACAAATTCACTATCCGCAATCGGCATGTCAGGGTTTGTTTTGACCTTTTCATCTGCCCTCTGATTGTATGATACTGTCGTTCTTTTTTATTACACAATTTTGGTGTGATGAATAGCAGACGGGATGAGCCCCGTGGTCACGAGGACCTGCTGTTCGGTGATGGAAACAGGTAACCTAAGCCCCGGGACTTGCAGTGGTGAACCACATAAGACCCCGATAAATTAAAAATATCAAATCTTTATCGTCCCTTTAATTTTTTACAAGTATTCCTAGGATAGTTAAAATAGAAGCTTCTGTCACTGGTTCTAATGCGCTTGCTGAACTCGTTTCAAAGCGATATTTCTCAGCTAGTGAAGACAGTGCTTATAAGTTTGTCTACAGTTTTACGGTCTAAATGACCACAGGGTAATTTTAGGTTTGATTGATCACATTGTTTTTTTGCATTCTTAGGAGTACCGATGCCGAATGAGTCGTGTACTGGGCTGCGTAAGCCCTGATGAGCTTCGTGGTCTGGATAACCGAGCTCACCATCTGAAAACTGAACTCACTGCCGCCGGTAATTTAGATGCAGATATTGACAGACTGCGGAGCACACTGACTGGTCTCGAGGAGCAGCTGGAGCAGGAAACTTCGGCACATGCTCGCATTGAACGCCAAAGGGAACAACTTGAGGTAAGTGAGAATCGCAGATTTAGCGTCTTAATGTCAATGTCAAGAACGAGACGGCTTTAAGTGCGTGTTCTCTCCGGGCATGTGTGTGAGAGGGAGATAGAAACTTTAGGTTCAAATAATTTCTCATAGCTTTTGGTGAAACAGTCTGCTGTGCACGTTTAGTGAACTGACGATGTACACCTTCCTGATGACTGCGAACACTCAACCAGGATGTTTGCAAAAAAATAGCCGGAAATTCTAACTACTCTATTGGAAATAACCCTTTGTCCATTGTGTCATTAGATGTAAAATCGAGCTATTGCGAAACGTGTAAAACGACGAAAGAAAATCCCACCATTCATTCATAAACAATAAAATAGTGCTTATAATTACATCCCGATTAGTATTGGTATTGTATTACATTGCTTTAATGTCTATTTGAAAGTGGTATATGAATACTCATTGACCTGTTGTTGTTCAGGTCAATTCAAGAAACGCTTTTCTGTGAATTTTCAGCAATTAATGAACAGTGGATGTATAAAAATTCGCAATCAACAAAAGATAAATACCAAACTGTAAAAAAAATAATGCAAGTCTCTTCCTAAGATAGGCACCATTTGTCTTACATTTAACCAAGAGCGAGCAAGGTGTTGAGCTATACTCTCTGTCCGTGTAAGTACGCAGGTAAGCCAACAAGTTTGTCGGGCACGCACTATGGAATCTTTAGGGATCGATATTTGCTGTGTGTAGGAAACTCGAATCCAGGATCCTACTACTGTAAGCCACTTGAGCGCGTCAGATTTTTGTTTGAGATACGTTCTTCGCATATCAGGCAACGATGATGCTCTTTCAGTAGGTCAGCGTGGGGTAGGTTTTGTAATCAGCAACAGGGCGGAGTCCTCTCTTATCGATTGGATCCCCGCCAACAGTCGTTTATGTGCAGTGCGTCTTCGGGGTTCAATCAGCTTCCGGAAGGGAAGCAACACCAAAAGGTGTTCGTTCATCGCATCAGCATATGCATCAATCAATTGCAGTTCTGATATCTGAAAGGACGCTTTCTACGATGAACTAACTGATCTCATTCGGATGAGTCGAAGCTCCGATATAGATGTACTTGCAGGTGACTTCAACGAGCAGGTTGGAAAATTGGGCGCTTCGGAAGTTTGCTTAGGTGATAGTTGTGCTCTGCCCTGCCAACGAACAGATAACGGCGATTAAATTCTTCAGTTCTGCGCAGACCATCATCTGTTCCTATCAAGCACCATCTCTGACACAGTTCTCGACGGACGGCAACGTGGTGTTCCAGTTCAACTGGCACACTAACTCAAATCGACCACATAGCAGTAAGCTACCGTTGGCGTGGCTCAGTGCAAAATTGCAGGTCCTATTGGACCATCTGCGTTGAGTCTGACCACGCATTAGTTTTGATACAGTTCACTCTCCGACTGACTGGTCGGCGACAAAACTAGCAAACTCGTATAGCTCATCATTGGCTATCTGTCCCAGAAGTTCTTGTACGCTATAAATCAGAGCTAGTAAGTGGGCTAAGCGCGCCTCCACGTGATGATGTAGATGAGCCGTGAGATCAAATTAGGCGAGCAATGCATTCCGCAGCGAATGTTGCTTGTGGGTCTGAGCCTCAAACTCGTCGGATGCATTGGATATCTCAGGAGTCAGTAGCCCTGATGGAGAAAAAACGACTAATCTCGACCTGCCAAGATCAAAACAGAGTCAACTCACGGAGAGCCTCAAGGATCGTGAGAACTGGTGGACAACAATAGCTAGTGAAATGGAAGTAGCCACTGCATCAGGGAATAGTCAAAGACTGTTCTGACTGATACGCAATACGGAGGTCAGCGAACTGTAGTTAGTGAAACAGTCTGTGATAAGATGGGACAAGCTATTCATAATAGGGATCAACGACTTTACTGCTGGCAGAATACTTCAACTGACCTGCCAATAACCAGGTTGCCTCATCGGCAACTCAAGTGTCTTGGATCGTGTCGTGCGATCCTCAAACGGAAGCAGGAGTTCGGTCTTGCATTCAGGCTCTGAAGCGAGGAAAGGCAGCAGGCCGGATGAGCTCCCTCCCACTCTTTTTAAGATGAGTGGTGATGAGCTCGTAAGCTGTATTACTACCTTACTGCGCAGCATTTGGACGCATAAGGGCATTCCTTCATCTTGGGACGAATCACTGATCGTTCCCATTTTCAAGAAAGGATCCCGCAACGATTGCGAGAACCACCGCGGGATAAGTTTGATCTCAACCGTCACTAAAGTGCCCGCCTCGGTCATACTACGGTGTCTGACTCCTTTAAGAGAGATCAACATCCGTGAACTGCAAGCCGGATTCCGGCCTGGCCCCGGAGCAGCAAAGGAGATAGGCGCTTGCATTCCCAAGCCTCGAGCAGCATATGCAGGACTGAAACACCTTTGGCGTAGACGCGACGTTTCACTGAAATTGAAAGGTCGTGTATATTGTGCTAGCGTTCGTTCAGTCCTGCTTTACGGCGCAGAGACTTGGCCATTACGGGAACAGGATAAAAATAGACTGTCGGTGTTCGAACACCGCTGTCTACGTAGCATTGCACGAATCTGGTGGGGTAACCGGTTGAGCAATTCTGAGTCTAGGGGCAGTTTCAGGTAATCGCGATCGTCCACTGGAATAGGTAGTCGACCTCCATAGATTACGTTGGTTGGGACATGTGTTACGCATGTCACCAGATAGGTTAACCATGGCAAGCGGTTTTCCGAGGCGCAGAGAGGTTGGAAAAAGGTAATTGGTAATCAAGCTAAGACCTGGCACGAGGGTATGAAAACCCTAACCAGGAGACCGGTTCACATAGATCCTGTTAGGCTCCCTGGCTGGGGACCTCGGGATGATGGTCACCGATGGTTAGAG